ATGGACGAAGACTTTTGCTCCTTCGTCATAGAACGCATTATCCGCATAGTCAGCGATAGCACCATGCCAAAGACTACCGTCAACACACATCTGGCTGTGCTCATGCAACAAAACTTTCGGCCCAAGATCGTGACTGCGACCCGCGTCGAGAAAGTCCTCGATGCACTAGAGACCATCCATGAGCGAACATCTGGTCATGCCGTACAGGCATACCGGGTCCGGATATACAGGAAGCTGCTTCAGCAGCGCCCCGAGGTCATGATCAGGCATACCGAACGATGGTTTACACATACACTCAAAGCTTTGGTATCGGTTCAGAAGGATATCAGTCAGAGTGCGCTAGACACTGCAGTAACAGCCGCCAAAACTATTGGCCATGACCGGCATGTCGCGAAATCCGTCTTGGTAGTTCTGAACCGGGTCAAGAGTGACGGTGCGACCATTGCCAGCATCTTCATAATGGAGCTTTATCGTTTACTGGGCGGTGAATATGCTGCTTTGGTGCCGCAGATCTGGGCAGCTGTTACAGGCCTACTGAAAAACTCGCTCTACCGCGAAACGTTCACTGCTCTGGCAGATTGGCTCACGCTTCTCCAGAACTGTATTTCATCGGAGAACGAGCAGGTTAGGGTTTACTCCAACGTCGCCATATCTTTCCTGGTACATTCTGTCAATCTGACTCCAGATACATCTGCAGGTTGGTCGGATATGTTTCGCAAGATCTCAGTACATGCACTGCAAAGAAAGATACCCATGAAAAAGTCCGAACAAGACGCTATCTCATCCGCATACTTTACGCTGCTGTATTATGCTCTGCGCCCAACTGCCACATTTGAGCAACTCGACCGATATTGGACTCAGTTCATAGTCAACGTCTGGACTCCAATGATCCTGCCCGATCCTAAAAAGCAGGCCGTACCCGCCTCTTATCGGCACGCTATACCCGCATGCCGAATCGTATCTGCTCTTCTAGACGGCTCTCGGAAACCATGGAACGAGTACCGTGCGCTGGATCTTCGCCCGAATGTTATGATCCCGCGTAACGAGCTCCCCCTAGTGGACCCCAGGTGGGTGAGGAAGTCGATTGCTCTGATACTGCAGTTCGTAGAGACTCTCCTCGATGCCACACTATTGTCTGAGAGCAGGGAACCGGAAGACGAGCCGGTTCAAACAATGTGGCAGGCAGTCATCGGTGCCCTGGTGGAAGCAAGTAGCAAGGAAATCATGGCTTCAACGGAGACGAAAGACGCCATGGCCCATATAATTAATCTGCTGCGCCGAATCTGGGACAAACACACGGAGAAGATCGCCTTGTCGCAGAAGAAGGAGGACATATGGGCAGACAAGTTCTGCTTTCTGATAGAGACTGTGGTACAGAAGCTGGGCCCTTTTCAATTTGCAGACAAGTGCCTCACACGGAACGAAAACAACGAGTTCGAGGTTGCATCCACACCATCGCATCGGTCACGGCATCAGGGAACGCGCTCATCGCCGCTCCTCTACCTTGTCGATCTCTTAGTCACTCAATCCGAGGGGAAACTAGCTGATCCAGTTCGACTCCGTGCGATCGAAGTCATCATCGAGCCTTGTTTCGCTGTTCAAAACACACGGCTGAGCAAACTGGAGCTTCTTCGAGATTGTGCGGCAGCAGTCGATGGTTCGCTCAAGGGCGCAGTGGCGTCAGAGTTCTGGAACCGGATTGGAACATTGCTCAATGCTTTGTTGGAGGACCAGTCACCTCCTTCAGGCGAGCGCAATTCTCGTTGTCTGGGTAAGGAGTATGAAATTGTGGTGGAGATCCTCAGTCTCGGTTCTGCTTGCCTCTTGGAAAAAGCACTTGGTCACCAAATCCTATCAACTTTTGTCAGTACTGTCCGGCGGGAAGCAGGAGAGGGTGCGCTTCCACTCGCGGTCATTGAGAAGGTATCTGAGCATGTGCTCAAGCATACACCGAATGAAGAGAAAGCTTCTTGTCTGGCGTATGCCAGCATTCTTCTTCGCAACCTTCCAAAGCTGATCAGCCGCAAAGTGCTGGAACAAGGCCGACAGAGTCTCTGGCCTTCGAATTCAGCACCCGGACGGTCTCAAGACATCGATCCCTACGTTCACCTGTATGGAGCCATTATCTCTGTTGGATCGGCCGCTTACAGAGATATTGACAAAGACAATGTGGAGCCAACAAAAGGCTTTCTTTCAGCGCTCAGTACCTCAATTCAGCAATGCTCGACGTCTCATCTCGCTGGCTATCTGCGGAAGATACAAGACGCGATCCATGTTTGGGTCGAAGATCCCGAGAGGAAGATGCAGAGCAGGGAGGAATCGTTGAAGAGCTTACATCTCGAGGTATGTTCATTGCTGTGCAGGATGGTAGTAGATGTTAACCCTTTTCAGGTTGTCAGCTTGTGGCAGGAGGTTTGCAAAGCTATTGAGCGATTACCGCGTCAAGATAGCCAGGTGTTACTTCATCTACAGCCGATGATTACCGCAGGATTTCTTAGCAGACGCCGAAGTGTCGTCAACCTCTCAATTGCGACCTGGAATGCAACCTTCGGAAAAGAAGATAGCCTACGATATCCCCCTCGACTTGAGCAGTCCCTTCGTCAACTATGGCATAGCGTCGAGCTCTCTCTGCCCTCTCTAGAAGTCCGGGAAGAGGATGCTGTAAGCAACTCTACAAGTCCCTGCTTAACACCACTAACGCCACAGCAGGAGAACAAGCTCTCATTTTACGATTCAGATACCAGTGCAGACGAAGTCAAACGTGCCTTCAAGAGCCCAGGAGTCAAGGGCACTCCCTTTAAGATCTCTAAAGCGTCACGAAGGTCCAAGTCCCGGTCTCCAGCGGTACCGGCTTCAGCCACCAGAAGGGTGCCTTCGCGACAGACGCCAAAGGTCCGTCTCCGACACGACAACTCTCAAATCAAGTTCGAACCTATCATGTCCTCACCATCAAACCCGTTCCAGCAAGAGTCGCAGGTATTGACCGGTCGACAAAAGGAGATGATCGATCGTCAGAAACTCAGCAGTGGTCTCTTCGCCAATCTTGGTGCACCTTCGCTACAGCCGGATGAGGTGCCATCGCCGTTGGAGTTCCATTCAGATGCATTGACAGCTGATGATCTGCCAAACCACTCCTCTCGAACAACACCACTCAAGGCTCTTGCGGCAATGGGACCTATGGACGGCTACCTTGGCTCTTCACCAACTCCGCATACTCGCAAGAGTACTCGCAATATCGTAAGCGACGACACTGACCTTGCCACACCCACGGCTGTGCGAAGCATCCAGTATGCAAACGACGAACCAGACTCTTCGCCGCCGCGATTCGAAAAGGAAGATAGGCCTATCCACAAAGAAACCGGGCCTGATGTTCTCGTAGGCTCCAGCTTTGACTATCGCCAGCCCGAAAGGTCATTTTCGGCTTCCTTTGATGAAGGAACCACAATTGACGAAGAGGCACTACTTGACGCTGTTGCGCCCCATGACAACCCTCAAATAGCTTCCGACCGCGTTTCAGACACTATCATGTCAGAATTGCCAAGTTCAACCATAGACCTACAACTCACAGCGCAAATCGACGCCGACATGCAAATACACGATGCCGCCCCCGAAGGGACAGAGGAGCAACAGTCAGAGTCAAATTACGACATCGCTGATGCTGCCGTTTCGCTTTTGCACCCACAGTCGTCAACAACTAACGACGACCACCCCGGCAGTGACACCGAAGTAGACGATGTTCAAACGCCAACTCGTGGACCTGCTCGTCGAGCTTCGCGCAAGAGCTCCCAGGCGACGACAAGCAGTACAAGTCGAGTGGGAGACTCCTTTGATAAGGGCTCTGTGAAAGGAACGCCGCATACGCTGCGCCGTTCTACGCGTAGTTCCATGGGAAGCCCCGCTCGGCTTGAACGTCTTCCAAGCGGAAAGAAGCCCAGACGTACTCCTGCAAGGGCCGAGAAGAAAACGAGCACTCCTGCGAAGAAAGACAGGAGAACCAAAGCTGGAAGACAGGCACAAGAAGAACACGCTCCGGAGCCAGAACCAGTTTCACAGCCGGAGCCAGTATCCCAATCAGAACCAGTGGCACAACCAGAACCGGAACCGGAACCGGCGCCAACGCCAGCACAAGCCCAGGACAAAGACGAGGAGATGCTTGACAACATCGTTGTGGCCGCGTCGCCAAAAGCAAGCGAAAAGTCACGGGGGAAGAAGCGGAAGATTAGCACGACCGACGCTCCTGTTGCCAGTCCTGCAACCACTCGCAAACTAAACCTACGACGCTCTCAATCTCTTCTTTCTCAGGTCGAGAATTCGCACGATATAGAAGACACAATAATGGATGAAGCACCCGTACCCAACAAACGGGTCAAGTCAAATACAGACCAAGACGTCAGCGAGGCGAAGAAGACGACGCCGGGGAGTCAGACAAAGCGTCTTAGTCATATACAAGTTTCGCCGCGGCCACGATCTTCTGGAGGATCCGCAGGAAGGCCATCTCCTCAGACAAAGGACGTGGAACCCCAACGAGCTCAGCAGAAAGAAGCTCCTGAGCCCAGAACCTCAGCCTCAGCCTCAAGTTCGACCTCAGGCTCAGACCAAGTACCAGCCAGCCAACCCCAAACACAGCCGCAACACTCCCAATCTCAACCCTCTGCAACGGCGGGAACCGACACACCATCCCGCTCCTTTGCCGATCGCGTCATCCTCACGCCGCGCAGTATCATCAATCAGCTCAAGAGCCTCAAAGACTACCTTTTTAGCACTCCGACGTTGGTGCTGGGGCGGAACGAAGAGAAGGAGATTGACGATGCGTTGTTTGATATTAGGAGGCAAGTGCATGCTGCAGGGTTGCGGGGAGAGAAGAAGAAGGAATGAGCTGGGAATGGCAAGATATCCATAACAAAAGTTGGAGGAAGAGTGCCCTTGGACTTGGTCGTGAAGAGGTGCAAAGGGTGTATTCATCGGGACTGGTAGAATATCACAACTGGATATAGAGTAGTGTCATGACATATGGATCCTGTAATCACTCAACTATGTACTCGCTTTCTGTGACATCAGTGGCCTGCGCAATCATTTCATGAATGCTAGAAATGCCTTACGCATGCCTGTATGCTTATCGAAGCTTGAAAGTCTGTAAAGTCACACCCCTCTGTCTCAAAGCAGCTGGCGAGAGCCTCGGATCAGAGTTTAGAACAACTCCAGTCCGTTTGTTCCTCCAATATTCGAAGAGAGCAGGATCGTCTGCATCCCATTGGTGAGGGATTCTTTCCCATTCATCTGTCTCGTTCGATGACTGTAGTCGAGGATCTTCTGAAGAGACAACGCCAGAATCGAGATTTAGATACGTGGGTACAGCGCTGTACCCTGATTGCATCTTATCGAGTTGAACCCTCACGTTTGATGGTAAAGTGCCAAGGAGGGTGACGCAGTCATCCAGACCATGCACATAGCATTCGCCTATGACGCGAAATCCGCTGCCATCATGTAGAGGTCGCAATACCATGGGGGTTTTGCTGCCTAAGAGCACGCATATGTAATCTCCTGTTGGACTTAGTATTTGTTTCAGAACAAGTCGCATGAGGTCTCACCTGATGTTGCTTCCGGTGGTCCAATTCCAATGTATCCCTCTTCCATCGTCATAAAAGTTCTGCCTCGAACCATCTTCAACATCCAATCAATATCGGCATCTAGTTCGCAGTCTTCGTTTGACTGGTCTGTGCGTCTAGGGGATATCCGATTCAGGTACTGATCTTTCCACTCTTCCAATGACGGCGCCTTGACAGTCGGCCACCGCTCATCGAAGTAGCCGGCGCGTATTGTGGTGCAATATGCGTCTAGAAGACTTCCACCAGCGACGTAGATGCCGGTCTGGAGATCAGGCATTTCCCAAGTCCTCACCATGTCCAACGTACCCGGAGACTCTAGGGGCGCTCTTTCTGTCACTCTCTCAATGCGTGCAAACCGAACACCCTCAACTTCTAAGATATCCGGAGCTTGGAACCGTAATGAAGACTTGGAAATACCGCTCGCGAAGCTGAAACCGTACAAGGGCCACGTCTCTCGAGGTATGGTCCAATTAGGTACCCAAGACGGACTGTCTTCCAACTGCAACGCTGAGTCACAGCCTGAGAGGAGATCTAGTCTCTCAACTTGGTTTGCATACTGCAAGAAAACGTCTTTGTAGACATCTTTCACGTCTTTCTTGTATGACGTTTCAATCTTGCTTCCAAGTTTTACTCCACAGATACTGAGCATTCCGTAGATCTTGTCTCGTGGGTCGAAGCATTTTCGCATGCGGCTGATATTGATCAAGAGATTGAAAGATCCACTGTACCGTTCGATGGTGAGAGGGTCGATGTCACCCAGTCTCGTACGCAACTGTTGCGTGGGTAACTGCTGCTTAGTGAGAAGGCAGATTATCGCTTTTCTAAGCTGCTGCCAAAGCATCTCGTGATTGCCACAGACCACGATTGCATTAGAATTCGCAAGCTGGATTTCTTGCCAGATCCAAAGACGTTCAAACCAAGGGCGCTGAAACAGGTTGTCAACTGCTGTCCAGGCTTTCTTGGTCAGAGATAAGGGGGTTGTAGCGCGAAACCATTCGGCCTCGATAGCTCCAGGCGCACGGAATCGAGCTCTATTGCGTCCAATTTCGATTTGGCTGCCGATATACTGTAAGGAAGAAACGGCAATATCGCTGTCGCTAGATTGTGGCCCGAGCCATACAACCACTCTCCGTGCCAATTGATACAGTAAGGACATTTTCCTGACTTGATATTCACGCTCTGGTATGTCCTTCTGGTTGATACAGATCGCATCGACCCATAGAGTTCGATCTGCGTCAGGTCGACGCAGATGTCGCAGTGCCTGGGCGAGATTCTGACCAAGGGGGAGTATCCAAGTATTCGAGGTGCGCGAAGTCTCCGTGCCACTGTACTCAACAAAAGCAGTTTCAGCAGGTTTCCCGGAACCCCAGGTGTAGGACAGTGATTCGAATTGTGGTTCAAAGTCCGCAGGCGGCGACTCTAAGGCTGGAGCCCAAAGGCTCGGGTTACAGTTGGGATCTGGGTGGATCCACTGAGTGTTCTCTGTATCGTCGTGCTCAAATATGTAGCTGTACTTGTATTGATGAGTTTCTGCCACGGTCCAGCCAAGTGGAAGCGTTTTCTGTAGCTGCTCAAGACCTAGTCTGGTGCTGGCCTGTAAGACAGGCTTCTGTAAGGGAGCGTGCCATAAGCGAAAGCGGATGTCGTCGGTAGTCTGGCCAGGCGGTATGGTAATGAGTCGGATCTCGGAGCTATCACGGTCAAGAGCTTCGTATTGTAGCTCCATTTGCGCTGCCAATGGTGAAGCTCGAGCTTTTGTGTCTAGAGAGACGAGCAGTAGAGAGTTTCAATTTAATAGATAGGCCTCAAAGAGTGAAGTTAATTCATGCTGCTAGTGCAATCAGTGATGATTGACGATTTGTCAAATAGACTTCAAAGAAGCTGCGTATGCTATCGAAAGTAAATACTGCGCAAGGCTGGCCACTGAGAAGAGCAGAATTCCGCCTCCGATTGGTGATGTACCACTCAGCGAATGCCACAACAAAGAGGCTTCAGCACTGCTCCACTAATGATAGCAATTTAGCGAACACGAAAGCGAAAGTTGTTTCTTTAGGCAGGTGTTATCGAAGGAACAAGTTATGGCGCAAGGCTGAAGAAGGCTCGCCAATGGGAAGTGCAGAACCGCAGCCTTCCATCATGTACCTAAGTGACTATATACTGATTACCGGATTTGTCTGGGGTTTTCAGTGCTTTTTGAACGTTCAGCTGCCAAGCTAATGCAATATTTAAAGGCTCTCTTGGATTCCTACATGCATCGACTCAGATTAACACCAGAGACAATATCAAGCTCCTACACTTTCGATACGATATCTTTGCCATTAGAAAATTACTTATCGTGAGTTAGTGCACACCTTTCGAGATTTCTAATTCCGTTATTAAGACTTTGCAGATCATTTAGTCTTCACTGGAGCCCATTATGTCTGACAGGGCCAAGGAAGCATTGTCCGTTGTTCGTCGTGAGGAAGAGAACAACGAAAGGGACGCCGACTACGGAGCTCAGGCCCAAGACTGGAACGACAACGCTGAGCTCCCTGGCAACAACGACGCTGCGGACTGGGCTGATGGTACAGCTGTTGGAGAGCACGGTCAGAATGCAGAGAACCTGGCTGAGGTTGGGGCTGACCGTGGTTACACCAATTCGAACTGAAATGAAGATGCGGCCGGTACTACTTGAGTATTTCCAGGGAAGGAAATATGTTTGAGAATTTACAAGTTCACTTGAAATCTTCGCCATGATGTTGGCGCGCTTGCAGAATCTCAAGAGACCATCTAAGAGGGACGGTATCAGCCAAGATGCAGTTTGTGCCCGAAAGTCGAGTGACAAAGCCGGCAAGATTGGCCCACGTGCCACAACATGACCATGAAACCATGTCATTCGCACTGTCATTGCATAAAAGCAGGGGAGTTTTCATGTAAATCATATTTCAAGGTATACCACAGTCCGAGCGACATTCTAGTCAGAACGTTCTACATGCCTTTTTCATAACGCAAACTCCGAACCATGCTCATAATAGTCGTGAAAAAAAAAGTAAAAGGAAGAAAAATGAAAACAAAACCCCGCCATACCGCGAAAGCGACCCCAACTATTGCAGGAGAGGATCACGGAAGTGCTTCTGGAAGTTATGCCTCTTCTCGTTACCAGCCTGGTACCTGCTGCGGGCAGCCTGCTCCTTCTTCTTGTCGCGCTTCTCAATAGCCTGAATCTCCTTCTTCTTTGCGTCTGTAACACCGACCATGCCCCTACCGCCGTTGGCGCGCGAGATGAGCTGGCGATCCTGATCATGGCCACGTCCACGAACTTGTAATTGACGCTCCTCGCCATCCATGTTGGCATCACCGTCCTCGTCTTCTTCGTCGTCGTCCTCGCCGCCAGCTGTGATGGCGCCAGGTATCCGAGCGCGTTGAGCCTCCTCCATACGCTCGGCTACACCGGGGTAGTTTCGCAGATTCTGGCGGTAGTACTTGTTTAGGGAACGATGACCAGCGGTGCGACCGGATGGAAGGTGTAGTTCGTATTCGTCGTAGTAGACGGCCTGGGGTGTGTGGTGGGCGTGCGAGTGGAAGCCGTCTGCAGCGCGATGTGGGCGTGGATCTGCGTGGTTGTGGTGCTTGGACTTGTTGAGCGACTTGTGTCGGTGGGTGCGGTCGATTGGCACAGCTGTGATTTCATCGGTCGGTACACTCGATACAGTGCTGTCGGTTTCCCAGCCTGCATCATCTTCCTCGGCGTTGCTCGACATGGCTGCGTCGTCTTCCGTAGTGGTCTTGGTCTCGCGCCTGGCGCCGAGCTTGATTCCGCCTCCTGTTGTAGAGGACGAGTCGTCTGAATCTTCAGCCTCCTCTGCCATCTCGTCGAAATCGGCAGCATCAGGGTAGGAGCTGCGGAAGTCGTAAAACTCGCCAATCTCAACCAACTCGATATCTGTGTCGAATGCGATCATGCAGTGACCACGATCGCGCATGTGCGTTTGGATACCTGAGGCAGTGTGCAAAACCTTGTGGCACTTAAGACACTCATGGTAAGCATGGATCTTCTCGTGGAGGTGCTTGATAAGCCCCTCGGGCTGTGCAAGGAATTCCTTCTCGGGTATGAACATGCCGTGGAAGCGTCCCATGTGCGTAATGTTGAGCTGGAAGTTGGGTGACTTGTAGTTGCAGAACAGGCAGTCTAGGAGGGGATCGCTAGCAGGCTTGTTGGACGCGGCAACGGAAGTCTTGTCGCCATCGGCAGTGGCAGCCTCTTCGGCATTCTGTTCCTCGATGCTCGCGTTCTTCAAACCGTCGGCCACATCTGCAACATCCTTGTCTGCGTCTCCGTTGACGGTAGTGACTTCCGAATCAGCCATGGACTCTCCCAGGGAAAAGGCAGAGCTGACCATGGAGCCAGTGACCGAGGCAGCGTCATCTAGTTGCGCGCCTCTGCCCGACTTGGCCATATTGATGCGATGTTTGGACGAGTTCAAGTGGTTGTTGTAGGCATTCTCGCTGAAGTACGTCTTCTGGCACGGAGTGCAGACCTTCTCAAAGGAAGCCTTGGCAGCAGTGGCGGCAGCGGTGGCCTTGTTTGCGAGGACCTTCTCGGTGAAGATCTCAGAGGATAGCGGTGGGAGGGAGGCGACGCGACGCTTGAGGTTGTACCTGTGCCAGTCGGTTTGCATGTGCGCCCGCTGCAGGTCGCTCGACCGGAAGGCGACTTGACATGTGTTGCAGGTGAAAGGATGGGTAGACTGGATGTTAGCCTGGGTAGGGACTTGCGACGCCATTTTTGCAGATATTGGAGTACTTGTCGGCGTGGCTGCACTGTGAGGAGGAGAGAGAGGAGTAGAAATAATAGGCGATTAGGTGGGGTTGAGTGTGGGATACGGTAGCGCGGTCAATTCACGACTTTATGACTGGCCGAGGGGCAAAATTTCACTAGGTCAGACAGGGGACGATTACAAAGTCAAGGAGGAGTGGCAGTAAGCTCTTGGGCCTTATCAGCGGTCCTGTACGGCGAAGATGATGGATTTGCGCAAAACACCGCCCGGACATGGGGGGCGAATATTGAAGCATGACATCAATCGGCAGGCAGTGTGCCAAGCCACTGGCACCTGCCATCCCTGCAGCGGATTAGAGCCGCATGGCAAGAGCACCCCTCGGCCACTAACTCCCTCAGCCCTATCGCCAGTGGGTTGCTGGTGCCTCTGTTCACGAGTCTCTACTATGAGTGAGTAACCGTACCGTGGTACTGCACCATGACAGCTACACATCCATCAACAGTCTGCATGCTTAGCCCCAACTCTCTTTCCCGCCTGCGCCTCCATCGATGATGAATTCGACGGAGGGTCAACGCGATGCTCCGCACGATGCCTCCGACCCCAGTGCCCCGGCCTTCAAGAGTATCTATACGAGAGATGCTGTAGACGTGTACGACGCCAGCCGCATCCTGGAATGCTCACAAACAGAGAGACAGCGCCGTGTCCAGTATCTTGTCCGACAGTAGGCATCTAGCCCCCTGCATGTTGGGGTCGAGTGCTGACTATTCAACAGCTACTTGTCCCAGATCCTCCATGGCTGTAAGAACGCTTACTGCAATACCCCTACGTGCCTCTCGTCGAGCAAGCGCACTGCTTCCAAGCCCCATCGTCCACCCACGCTGCTCACCGCCGTCGCCCTAGCACACTACCTTACCGGTCAAGATAATCCCAATCGTGGTTTGTGCCCTCACCAACTCAAAACCCCTCCCGAGTCATTCGAGATCGCAAGCAGTCTTGCGGAACAAGTTAGGGTCGACTCGGCTGGGAACTACGCTGTGTACCCTGCGATAGGGCAATTGGCACAACAACGTCAGCAGAGCTTTGCAGGAAGCAGCTCTGGCGATGGAGCTGCAACTCAAGCAGAAGGGCTCGATGGCGACTTGATAAGCGCCCTTAGGCAGCGACAGCGAGTTAGGAAGGACCCGAAGGCTCTTAGTCAGAACTTGTACGACAGCTTGACTATGATATATTCTTATATCGCGCATATACCCAGTCCTGCCTCTGTTCTTACTTCGTTCCGTTTACCAGCTTCTCGGGCAGACGGGAACCATACAGAGTCTACGCCGCACACAAACGCCCTTGCAGCGACATCACAGTTGAATGGGAAGTTGGGCAACGTTGCCCAACATTCACATCGCGCATCCGCCACTCATAGCAATTTACATTCAAACAACACTGTCGCTGAGGTCCTAACTAACGGCCAGCATGTCCACAAGATACCTTACCATCCATCGAATGGTGCAATCCAACGACGTCCCTCTACCGCTTCACACTCTTCTGCTGTGGACGGTGCATCAGATCCGACAATGCTATCCATCAAAAAAACAGGAAGAAAGAGCTTCACTATCGGAGGAACGATCCCATCTGCTGTGCATCAGACCAAAGCTCCCTCTGTAGCATCTAAACCAGCTACTAAAGATACCGCTAGCTCTACCTGGACAGCACCTGGCGTACCTATAGTACCGAAACTGAGTTGCGACATCCTTGACAAGCTCAAGGAAGACGTTCTACGCTACGGCGACAGCCGCTCTACTGACTTGAACTACATTGTCGACTTCGACCCTGGGCGGCGAACTCGACGTGCCAAACCACTTGTCAATCGGTCTTTGTTTTATGCTCTAAGCGATCCACAAAACCTCCTTGCGTCTTTCCATGATGCCAACCCAGGCTTCAAAGACTCACCTCTACCACATCTTGACTCGTCGCGCTTAGTGAACTCCTTCCGTGGTTGGAACCATCGCAACGGTGCGCTCATATTCGATAGCCTCTGGCTTGCGTTGGAGGCTCTGTTTACCTGTCCACCGGAGCTTGTCGTCCAGAAGAGTCCTCGCCTAAGACCTTCAAGGAAGGGCGCTTCCACAGATAGTCAACCGGGCAAACCGACTGGTACTCAGGACGATAAAGCTGCAGCCTCGCGTTATCTTGACACAAATGAAGCTGCCCATATTGTTATGATTTGCATACATGCACTCACCTCACTAGTACCAGTCGGGTGGCCACACACGTGGGCACAAATTCGTAAGCTGCGATCCTGGGGCGTCATGGTGCCGGACGCGGCTCCTCATCCTGACAAATTTGTGCATCCGTACATGGAGATCATTGATGAGTTAGAGTATGAGCCAGCGATTCGTCTTGCCGATCGGTTACTTCGTGCTATTGGAGCACGAACTTGCTTCGAGCACATACTGGCAAGCTTGGATGGCGACGCAGATACGACTGGGTCCAGCACAACACTAATGGGTGTTGTTATAGAGCACTTAGAAGTGTTGGAGCGCATTAGTATGGCTATGAAACTAAGATTGACTTCCAATCATGATCTGGGCGGAGACCCTGGATGGACTGTTACAGCCACATTCATGGAGTGGCTCCGGACTATTATCGTTAAGAAGTGGGAAAGCAAGGCTGAGATAAACAAGTGGAGTAGTGTTGGTACAGCTGTAATGATCCTCGACAAGCTTCGTAAGTTACCAGGAGGCTTATGATGGAAACAAAAAGGCTAACAGACACAGATTCGAGACAACAAGCTTTGTACTTGAACTCCAAAATGTTCGAGATGCCAATACTTCACGAGCGAATAGACACCGTGAACGAGCCTATCAACTACCTTACATGGGAGCATCATCCCAACACTCTACATATCTTTGAGTACCCTTGTCTCTTCTCCAAGCAACACCTTGTGGCTTACTTTCGCACAATCAACTTCACGGAGATGATGAAGCAGTACGACCACACCATGCGCACCCATCAAATGCAAAGATCGCTAGAGATGTTCCTACAAGAACCTTATTGGTGGGAGATTAAGAGACGAACCAAGGTAACACTTAGCGATTACCTGGTGCTGGATGTTAGTCGCGAGGAACCACTAAAGGATACACTGGATCAGTTATGGGGCCAGGACAAGAGGATGCTTCTCAAGCCGCTGAAGGTCAAGATGGGACACAAGGAAGGAGAAGTTGGTCTAGACCACGGCGGCGTGACGTACGAGTTCTTCCGCGTAGTCTTGAGCGAAGCATTCAGGCCCGAAAATGGTGAGTTATACCTTAGTAAATACACAAATCCTTTCGCTAAGTTTATTAGGTATGTTCACGATCGATTCGCAGACACGTATGACGTGGTTTCAACCACAAAGTCTGGAACCCAAATGGAAGTTTGAGATGCTCGGCATACTCTTCAGTCTTGCTGTATACAACGGCATCACTCTGCCCATCACTTTTCCTCTGGCTTTCTATGACTGCCTCCAAAGTGTGGGCAATCCGCTCTGCAAGCGTGTGGCTGATTATGACGCACTGGGCTATATAAGAGACGGCTGGCCGAGCCTGGCTGAGGGCTTCCAGAAGCTCTTATCCTGGCGCGATGGCGACGTTTCAGACGTCTTCATGCGCGAGTACATCTTCAGTTACGAAGCCTTCGGCCAAATCGTCAACCAGAACCTTTCCCACGAATCCGCTTCCATCACAACACCTCCAGAACCATCGCAAGAAGAACCGGATCTAGTCACAAATATCAATCGAGAACAGTACGTTCGAGCCTATGTCCGCGCTCTAACCTACGATTCGATCGCCCCACAACTTACATCCTTCATCCGTGGCTTCCTTACCTGCATCAACGCCAAATCGCTCCAACTCTTCACCCCTTCCACACTCCGCCACCTCATCGAAGGCACACAGCACATCTCTATCTCCGATCTTAAACGCTGCGCAAAGTACGAAGACGGATACACCGCGTCCCACTCCAACATCCGCGCTTTCTGGGACGTGGTAGAGGATTACAGTCAGGAGGACTTGCGGCACTTGCTGGAGTTCGTGACGGCGAGTGACCGGGTACCGGTTACGGGGTATGAGAGTATTACGTTCCATATTGTGAGGATCGCGGGCGCGGAATCAGGGGGCTTGCCGAGTAGTTCGACCTGCTTTGGTAAACTCTACTTGCCGGATTATCAAGACAAGAAAATTCTGGAAAAGAAGCTGGGGTTGGCAATTAGGAACTCAAAGGGGTTTGGGAATGTGTAGGTGAATTTGGGAAGGAAATTATGCTGTACGATTGGGCGGTTCCCAAGACGGAAATGTACATGGTCTCGAAATATCACAAGGTCGTTGCGAGTGGCAAGTAGGCATCGTGGAGACCTAGTTATCGTAACAAACTGAAAAAACCGATCATGAAAACTTGGCCCTTCGATGCTAGGAACATAAAACGCGCCGGCACAGTGGCTCGTCCCGAAGTTTCTAATCACATCAAACGTAAAATTGTGTGTAGCGTCCCAACCCGTCATTGAATCCTGCCTGCCGACGCTACGTCATACTGGTCGTCTTCATTGCCGATCTTCAAAAGCAAGCCACCCGCACCCCGCGGGATCACCTCCGCATCGTCCCATACTCTCCCCGATCACGCGACAAAACGTGTCAACCCATGAGCGTTCCCATGATCGTCATTCTCGCCAAGCACAGCCATGCATAGATAAGCTTCTCAAGCGCCAGTGGTGCCCTCTTTGACATTCCCTTACTCGTTCGAACCATCCTTGCCAAGGAAGTGATCACCCTCCATAAAAAGCTTATATGTTCCCGGCAGATTCTTAGCACTCGAGTGTTTAAGAGATAGGCTTCTAGAATATGAGTGGGTAATGGCAGGGCTTTCAGTAGCGTGACGGGTGAATCCGGGGACTATGGGGGTTTCGAGGAGAAGAAATTGTGGGTTACGTAGCATGGAGATGCAGATCGATTTGTGTAGGATCGATGCTTATATGGGAAGGAGCTTGCACCTTTGCTGGGACAATTCGGCATCTCCACTTTTGCATTTACCTATACCAAGGACAAGCGACTTCTATTTCACCGTCCAAGTACCCGAGATTAATACTATCGTCAAACATACTCTGCGACACAATCAAAGACTTTTCAGTCAATACGTCAACATACTACACTCCATCTGCCATAACAAGATCGACATTGGAATACCACAACCTCTCTCACAATGTCACCACACTCAACACAAGACCCATGTATCCCCTACGGTCGTGGCGGAGCAGGAAACATGCGTAAGCCATCCACACTCCCATTCTTACTACCCCAAACCCCACTCCAACATACTAACCCACAACCAGGCCGTCGTTCCTCCATAGCCGCCGCCTGGTCAACCATCCTCTCCCACCCATCACCCACAGACAGCAACAAACTGAACCTCGTATCAAGCCCAGAAGAGCACTACGCTGCTTCGAAATCCGAGCCTAGGCGGAGGAGACACTCTTCTTCCACGTCGGAGGAGGGGAGCGAAGGAAGCATGCGGATGAAGAGTAGTGTGGACGAGGGCGCGAGGAGAAGGAGGAGTAGTGTGTGGAGTGGCAGGAGCAGGGCAAGTACGGCAGGAGAATCTGGATCCAGGTGGAGGAGGCTACTACAGTTTAGAAGAGCGGGTGGTCGCATAGAAAATGAAGCCAAGAATGAGGACGTGGAGTAAGGTGGTTATTGGTTGTTGGGTATAATATATGGAAAACAGATTGGAAAGATTTTGAAAGATTTGTCTCAGGACGAGGAGGGGGCGAGGTGAGCGCGCGTTTGCAAGCGTAATTTCATTCCATCTTTGGTTTTTTTATTTTCTTTGCTAGCGAGAATGATACCACTTTGCCCTTTTTCTCATGCGTATAATTGAAATTCTCGAGCTGTTTCTGAATAGGTTTCCCAGCTTGAGAAGTCTAGTGATTGGTATCCGGTGGGTACATAAATGCGCTGGATACGATGGTCTCGACGAGGAGCGATACGGCGACGAGGGGAGAAGAGTCGTGAGAATTGTATTCCGCATGATATATCTGCTCGTCTAGACGGCGAGGGCGTAGAGGTGGTGTAAGGCTGCACGTGTTTGGATGTAGTCCAGGCGAATGCTGTGGCTGGTTCCTGGTAGCGCGTAGATCTGATAGAAGGAGCTTTTCGACTACTAGGAAAGAGACTGTAGGAGTTTATGGAGGATAGGGCATCGTATCTAATCGAAGGGCGACGCTGAGGTGCCATGGTTCCAGGTAGGAGGTAGTCATATTGGAGAGGGAATGGAAAGAACATGAGTGCGGTGTACCTGGGTATTTGCGATGTGATACCCCATCGCGGCATGTGCTCATACTCATACCACCTCACAACTACGCCAGAGCAATGGCCACATTCAGTGATTAGCTTGGTTTCATGCGGTGCAGAGGCGCATTCTGCCCTTTGGAAACCAGCACAGTGGATTGCGGCACATTGTACTGCTAGGTGTGAAGCCATCCTGCCAATAAGCTCATTAGCTGCCACTAGCTTAGTCGATTCTGAATGCGGCACAGTTGCTGAGGATGGATATTACGCTCGTGTTTCACAGTTCCGCCACATCGTTACGTAAGGGTTGTCCTCTGGTTCCTTTGTTCTCCAAGCGAAACGGATCAGCCACACGCGATGCGAGAGATAGTGTGTAGGATCATTGTTGCATGACAATATGTGGCATGTCTAAAAGCTTGCCAAAAGATGCATGAACTGAATTAATTCTTCTCTACTGCTGACGCATCAGAGTCGAAAAAGGCTGTCTACAACGGCACCGCGTGTCCGTCACCTCGTAGATCACTGCCTCCACTCCAGACCTGTACGCCGTCATCTACATGTCTCCTGATGATCTGACCCCGTCCGAACATGCCCCGTCCATAGCCGTCTAGCTGCTTTACATTATGGCCAAGTGCTCGCAACTCTTCGACTACCTTTGGATCAATGCCCTCCTCTAGGTATATCGTCGCATCAGTCATTTTGCCATCGGCGCTCGGCATACCCGCACCGATACAGAAACGCGGCGAATCAAGTGCAGCTTGTGGATTGAGCTTGAAGACCTCCTGGTTGAGGAGGACTTGAACATGACCCTGGGGTTGCATAAATCCACCCATCACGCCGTACACGGAGTGCAAGCTACCGTCGCTGACGTATGTTGTCAGGCCTGGAATGATTGTGTGATATGGTCGCTTCCTTGGTGCTAGTACGTTCGGGTGGTCTTTGTCAAGACTAAAGTTTGCACCACGGTTTTGGAGGGTAAAACCGCAGCCTTTGGGAATAATTGCCGTTCCAAACCCGCCATAATTGCTGTTAATGAAGGAAATGGCATTGCCCTCAGGGTCGGTACAGCAGAAGTAAACGGTGTCGCTTTGCAGGTGTGCTGGAGAACCATGGACGGGCGCTGAAATGGCCTTCTTTGCATCAAAGAGCTTTGCGCGCTCGGAAAGATATTTTTGCGAGATCAGCTCGGCGGATGGTACCTTGACAACATTAGGGTCGGTGACAAACCAATGAGCATCACAGAAGGCGATTCGCAATGCCTCGATGACTGTATGGAGATATGCCGTGCTGTTGTGATCGTTCACACTCCATATCGGAATCTTCTTTTGTCTCTCCAGCTCCTGGATGATGCCTAGAGCCATCAAAGCAACGATTCCCTGGCCATTCGGTGGATGTTCCCATAACTCAATGCCGCCCTCGGGTGGTGGCCTGTTTCCAACCTTCTGACCGTAATACTTCAGCGAAATTGGGTCAACCGGCTCGGATCCAGTCTCTGCATGATGTTTGAGATCGTCTAGAGTAAGATAGCCACCAAGATCTTGCACCACTTTTACGAGCTGCTCAGCTACTTCTCCTTCGTAAAATCCCTTCTTTCCGTGCTTGGCCAGGAGTTTAAAGGTATTACCAATCGTTGGATTCTTCATGATCTCTCCAGCTTTGGGTGCTCGGCCATCCTTGAGCATCTCGCGGCCGTTAGGGGATGCTTTCAGGAGGTCTTTCTCGCTAGCCTTCCACTTCAAATTGTCAGAACGTCACCTGATAACGGAGCATATTAGATCTTACAAAAGTAGCGGACAGTTCAGAGACCGGGAAACCATTCTCTGCGAGATCGATGGCAGGCGCAAGCACGTCTTCCATGCTGACCTTTCCGCTGCCGAACCGCTCAACGCAATCGACCCATCCTGCTGCCGCGCCAGGAACTGTGGCCGCATGTACATGATCCATGGGAATCTGACCGCTCTGTCCCTCTGCGAGATTAAGGTCCTCTCTGACCTTTTCCAGCGTGACATCCGCACCCGTCCGTCCGGAGCCGTTCATGGCAGATACTTTCTTTGTCTTCGCATCGTAGTAGAGGCAGAACATGTCACCGCCAATACCTGTTGATCCTGGTTCTGTAACATTGATTGCCGCTGCGACAGCCACGGCTGCATCCTGATTGCTATCAGTACTGAACGGAACTGGTGATAGATTACGTCATACAGCCGCATTTCCACCCTTCCTTAGGATCTCGATTCCAGCAGCAGCCGCAAGCGGCTGCGTGCAAGATACGATGCCTTTGGTGCTATGTACGACCGAACGTCGACTGGCAAAGTGTACAAACTGAGGCTCAGGATGGGGATAGACATTGTGGGTACCCAGATTGATGAAGTTCATCTTGGCTTCTGCTGGCTGCTCTTCTTCAGGCTCGTGGTGGGTTTTGGTCCTCTTGCTTCGTCGTGGGGTAGGCATTGGTAGTCGAACACACCAGCTTCAATGCCAGAGTGGGGTATGGGGAAGCTGTCATGTATACCTGCCCGTGGACTAAGTAGTGGCCCACGGTTATCCCCGGAGATAGTTGTTGCGGTTCGGGTTGCCGATTTCGCTCGACAAACGCCTCGGAGCATAACGCAGCGGCACCGACTATCGCCATGACATCTCTGTAAGAGGAAGGTGGTAGAGCGGTGTAGTCCGTTAACATCTGCCGGGATGGAGTATTGAGTGTCACGTGCACACGTTCCGAGCCGATCGGAACGCGTTGAACATCGACAAATTCATCAGATGCGAAGTTTACATATCTCGACGACTATGCTCACAACATCCTGGATATGTCGCAATTGCTTATCGCGCATCAGCCGCCCGCTGTTGAAACGCAGCATCCGCCTCCAGAGTAATGGTGTGTGTTATGGTTGCCGAGTCTGCGGAATTCACTAACATTGCATAGCTGCAACATCTGAGACGATACCACCAGCCCTGCTCTCAAGAGCCCGCGCAATCGTTACAGAGCACAAAGAGTTGACTGAAAAACTTTCCAATGGCTTCGATACGCGCGCTGCGAAGAAGCTGGGCGAATACAGCCCCATCGTGAACGCACTAGGGGAGTGGGATAAAGCGAATGAGGTGAGCACCATACGGCAGCCTGCAGGAGCAATAGAGTAGCTGATATGGACTAAGTCTGTGACAGAGCTCACTTCGATGATACACGACGCCTCAACCGACCCCGAACTACGATCACTCGCTTCCGACGATCTTGGGGAGACACGAACGCAGCTCGTGAATGCTTCACAAAACCTAATCACTTCTCTGGTACCCGTACACCCCTTCGCACATCTACCATGTCTTCTGGAAATACGACCTGGTGCTGGCGGTTCAGAAGCAGCTATATTCGCTGGAGACCTTTTCCGCATGTATTCTGCCTTCTGCAACCGAAATGGCTTTCGCACAAACCTCCTCAAGTACGAAAACGTGAACGGCACCACTGAGGCTGGAGTACCGCTATCCGAAGCGATCATCGAAGTGGAGAACGACGGCGCATATGGCGTCTTCCGATGTGAAGCAGGTGTGCATCGCGTTCAACGGGTGCCCGCTACTGAAACTAAAGGGCGTACGCACACGAGCGCGGCATCTGTACACGTGCTACCTAGTCTACAAGAAAACTCTGCAGAGGAGCAGGACTTCGACGACCCCGAGAGCGACTACTACATCGACGTGAAGGAGGTCAAGTTGGAGGTCATGCGGGCGAGCGGTGCCGGTGGACAGCACGTCAACAAAACAGAGTCAGCCGTTCGGCTAACGCATATCCCCACAAACACAGTCGTCGCGATGCAAGATTCTAGATCTCAGCACAAGAACAAAGAAAAGGCCTGGGCCCTTCTGCGCTCACGCATTGCCCAATCAAGACGAGAAAAGCGCGAAGAGGAGATGGCGAACATGCGACGAAGCGTTATTGGCGTGGCGAAGATGGGTCGCGGTGACAAGGTGCGGACCTATAACTGGGGCCAGCAGCGAGTTACCGATCACAGGAGTGGAACCACCGTACATGATCTAGACGACGTGATGGGAGGTGGCCAAACACTGGAGAAGGTCATGGAGGGTGTTCGCAGCTGGCTTATGGAACGAGACGTCGAGGCTTTGATCGCGGACGATGCGAATACAAAGTGACGCGCCCAACGATAGAAGCAGGCCTTCTGAAGATAGACAGGGAATTTTCGCCACGCTCAGTCTCACGATGTGTACGGGAAGGAACTCATATTAAAGAATGCATATGAAGCCTATTGTAAGATCCGCGTTCAGCGAGTGCCGAGAAGAACTCGCATATATGTCGCGCTTGTGGGCGCATTACTCGAAACCTGATCTCCAAGTTACTCCATCTCATGTGCTGTCTTGGTAAATCAGATTCGCACAGCAACGCGGTTTGTTTGGTACTTCTTGGTACTCGGAAGCAGAAGCGTGCACACAATCGCTATGCTGCCGAAAGCGATACTCGTAAACTAGAACGTCCGGCTATGTTAGCTCCGTGATACAGGAAGGACGATGAAAAAAACGCTATGCACTTACCCAAACATACTTCAAGCTCTCGCTGTATGCCCAGCGCGTTCCTATCGTCGCGCCCTGTATTACAGCTGGTGTAACACCTACGATATCCGCCGTAGCCAATTCCTCCGGCACCGTAAGGAACAAGCCAACAAAGGCCTCCACACTCTCCACTGGAAGACCAGCTTGGATCGCGTACTGCGCCGTATACTTGGGTAAGTTGGTCGTCAGTTTTCCTGCGAAGATATTGTAGTAGATGGAGTACCCGATACTTCCGCCAACCGTACGGATAGACAGCGACAGGGCAGCAGCAGTGGTGATAAGCGCATCGGGACAAACAAGCATTGCAACTGTCGCGGCAGGAACCAGTACGCCACCCACACCAAACCCAGCCATGGACCCCAGAAACAAGACTACACGCTCGTTGTCCGGAGTCATGACCGCCAGTGCTCCTGCAAATCCTGTCATAATGCTCACAGCTAACAACAGTACTTCTCTTGTGTGACCTGGAAAGCGAGACAGTGCGGCGTTGAAAAATATCGCACCGACGGCTGTAGTGAGAGCAGGACCCAAGCCGCGGAGTCCAATAGAAACGGGTACTGGCGTGTATACGCTGCTGAAGGTGATGGGGAAGAAGTTTAGGATAGAGAAGAAGTTCATGCCGGCGGAGAAAGCGACGATGTATGCGAGAGCGACGATGCGTTGGCCGCTGAAGAGCTCGCCAGGAACCATGGGGTAAGGGGCGTACTTGGCTTCATAGACCACCCAAGCGGCGATTAGAGCTAGACCGATGAGCATGGTACACAGGACATAGGCGGAGGCCCAGGGGTGTGTGTAGCCGCCTGATTGAAGGGCTACGAGGAACAAAGTGAGTCCGGTGATGGATAGAACCCCACCGATGTAGTCTATACGCTTCAAGATTGCTCGTCGCGAGAAGCCATCGCCGCGCGACTGGTTCTGAGGGAAGTACGTCAAGGCGAGACCGATGCCAACGATACCGTTGAAGATGAGCGCGCACCAAGGTCCCCAGCGCCAACCGATGCCGTCGTCGTTGTGCGACCAGAGTTCCACGTAAAGTAGGTATGGGCAGAATGGCAGGACAAAAGCCGTAACGAGAGCAAGAGAGTAACCCCGGTACTTGACGGGTACTACTTCTGCAAGCCTAAGTCACCATGTCAGTCCATTTCTGTAACGATCTACCCTTGTCTTATCATATACATACCCAGCAAGTCCTGTCAATTCTCCCGTGGCAGCCCCAGCACCGGAGATCGCCATACCAGCCAACAACTGTCCAAAGCTGTGTCCACTACCCATCAATGCGCATCCCAGACAGATGCAAAACGACCCGAAAAGAGCAATGTAGCGTTTGCCGAAGAGGTCCTGAAGGTAGCCTGCATACGGGCAAACAGCGGCAATGGCAAGAATGTTAGCAGTGGGGAGCCAGGCAGATCCACGTGCTAGACCGAGATCTTCTTCGATGAAGGAAAGGGAGCCGCCGGTAAAGTACAGGATTACCTGGGAGCCTGCAAAGGCCGAGTGTTAATATACATATCTTTTGTTCGATACTGTGAATGGCATTGGGGAGATGAGGAAAGGAGACGGACCTGTATATAGTGCCGCAAGGAAGATGGCAGCGAAGATACTTCGCACACTCCACTCTACCTTGCCATCTGAATCGTCTCCCTTGAGTGCATGGCTATTCTTCATATCCACACCCGAAAGAGTGACTTCTTGCTGCAGGTCATAGGCAGAGTCGTTGGTGGTATGAGTGTTTGCATGTTCGATGTGATGACCGACTTGCTGTTTTTCCTTGTCGTAGTCGGGGTGGATAGTATCCGAAGCCATGAATTCAGCCGTTTGTGTTTGTTTTTATTAAGCTTGTTGAACGATTTGCGAGGAAGGTATGTTGAGTTTACAGATGTCTTCTATAACCCCCAAACAACAGAGACAGGTCCCGTCCTATATCTGCATCCATCCCTGCTTTCTCTTCTCCTACCACAAGCTGACCCATGTCGACCCCACACTCCTGGAAATGTCTTCCCATCCCTTCAGCTTGGCTTCCTCAAAAGCACAATTGACGCATCTCAGCTGCCCAGTAAAGCGCATCTCGAGCCCACATTCGACCCACTCACCCTAACCATCGTGCCTAATACAAGCGAAATCCGGGGTAGTGCCGTCAGTGAGTGCGGGGAATTGATAGCAACTTTAGCGTGGTGATGATCTGGGCCCAGGGTGGCGCATGTCAAGACTGACTCGATTCTAGCGACATCGTGAAGAAATAGCTACTCGTGTAGCTAGTATGTTACCGGTAAACCAAACTCGATGACCCCGCAGTGTGGAACGTGGAACTGGTGGACTTGGCAAGCGGCTGCTATCTTCCGTGATGCATCTGTGAGCTTGGGTTGGTGCGGATTGACGGGGTTCGGATTGCGTTAAGATACAGGCGATCTTCCAAGTAGCCTATACGATCAAGTAACCTTGCCTAGCTATACGTCAACTGATACGTATTACATGACTCAGAAGGGGAAGAAGGAAGTCTGATCAGGGGAACAATGCGTGGATACTCCCTCTCAAGGTATTCAAAGATAATGAATCTATGGTATAAAGGTTACGCAAAACAGCGCGGCAGCAGCGAAGCCAAAGACGCCCGCCCCAAAGAACCGAGTTCGCGTGCATGAATCAATTCAGCATGCTCTTCATCCCGTCCCATTCCATCCCATTCCTCGTCCATCGTTGAGCACCATGAACACCATGTCCTCCGCCATAATCTCTACGCCCATCCCATTCCAAGTCCGTCACCCTCAAGTGCCTTCTCGTATCCTTCCCACCTTCCATTCGTGTCTTCGTCACATCCCCCCTACCGCTGGTTAAAAAACCAACTCGTCCTCTTTCCCTTATTGGCCTCCCCTCCGTCACTGTCCTGCTTCTGCAGATTACCAATAACAGGAAGAACAGGCCCATCAGCCACAGGTCCGCCACCTCCGCCACGAAGAGGCTTAGCAATACGACTGCCGACGCCGCCGAAACCAGCGTAACTGGCGCCGCCAGCGGGGGAGCCGAGACCGCGTGTAGAACCGGCTTTGGCAGATTCGAGACGCTCTTTTACGGCTGTGAGTTGGGCTTCGAATCTGTGAGGGGGCTTGTTAGTACCAAGACAAAGTAGTTTGAAGGGTGAGTATGACATACCGGTGATTGGCTGCTGTGAGCTTCTCCTGCGAGTCTTGTAGCAAAGATTCCAGACTCTGTATTCTCTCGTTCCTCGCCATGAGTTTACGCTCAGCAATAGCAACCTCCTTCTTCAAGCTGCTATTCTGCTCCACAAGCTGTCTCTGAACAACCGTAAGCTGCTCGAGATTTCTTTCTAGGAACATCATCTTCTTCTGCTGCGCGCGGTTGTTGGATGTACGGAGCACGTTGTTGTATTGCTCACGCGTCTCGTCTAGGGAGATTTCAAGCTCGACAACCTGTAGTTTATTAGCACGACGTCTGCGATAGATAGTCTCGATGGTCCACTGACTCGTTCACACCGGTTCTGGAGGTCGCGCATGAGGCTTTTCTTCATGTTGTCGAACTCGGCGATTTGCTGTTGTACAGTCTTGCCGTTGATGCCATTTGCGACACCGTTGGCAATGGCGCCACTCTTGATGCGCTGTTGCAGGCTTTCGTTCTCGGTCTTGAGCTTCTGGTTCTCTTCTAACATGCGTGCAGTATCCTGCTTGAGGCTCTCTACTAGCTCGAGGTTGCCTTCTTGTCGGGCAGAGTAGGCATCGGCAAGTCGTGCCTTGAGCTCCTCCTTGTCTTGCTCTGAGAGGTTGCCTTCAAGGAGTTCCTCATATTGACTTTGCAGGGTCTCGCAGCGTGCCTCGAGTGCTTCGCGGCGCTTGGCATACGTGCTGTCCTCCTCACTGCGTGCAGTAAGAGAGAGCTCGGCTTGTCGTACAATGCCTTGCGTTTCAGCAATCTTCTCTCGTATATCCTTGATCGCATCAGGAGCGATCGCTTCGCCAGATGAGCTCATATCATGGAGTTGATCTAGCTGCTCAATGATCTTTCGTATCGTTCGCTCGTTATCGCTGAAGACCTCACCGCCGAGGTCGAAGCCAGCCATCATCTGTGCCATGGCTTCAGCCTTCTTCCTCTTCTTCTCATCCATAGCAGCAGACGTCTCCTTGGCGTTCATCTTAGCATCCAGGAGTTGTTGCTTGACCTCGTCCAACTCGGAGGTGAGTTCAGAATTGGCCTCCTTCAATCCGTCCATGGTGATTTGTTGCTCCTTGCTTTCGAACTGAATCTTCTCAACCTGCATTCGCATCTCGTTGATCTCCATAGTCATTCGTTCGTTCTCCTTGTTTGTCTTCGCGTCCCGTTCCTTGTAGTACTGAAGCTCTTCTTTGGCAGATTTGAGCTGGTCTTCAGCTTTGGCAAGCTGTGATTCTTTTTCTGCAACTTGATCCTGCAGCTCGTTTTCCCTTCGCAAGAAATCGTCCTTCTCGTCCTTGTCCAGAGGTATGCTTGGTGTGCCTGCGCGGTCTAGGTCCATTCGCGAGTCTGGTCGTGGCGTTGGAGTCTCCGAGTTTCTTGTTGCTTCCAGTCTTGATGGCGTTCCTGGACGCGGTGCTGCTGCTGATTTCTTGCCTGATGATGGAGCAACCTCTAGAGGGGGAACCCACTTCTCCTTGGGAACAGTCTCTCCTTGACGCCAGAGCGTCACTTCGCCTTCGAGCGTACCAATATAGCTTTCAAACGTCGTCATCTGGCCTTGCACCTTCTTGAGCATAGCCTTGAGCTCGGCGGGACTGAGCTCAGCGTTGACCTTGGCCTTGTTCTTGATGGTCTTGGCTCGCATACCGAATCGAAGTGTACCCAGGGTTTCGATATCGTTGTAGCTACTTGGCGAACAGTTGATAATGAGAGTTGTCCGAGAGTTACCACCAAGTGATTCTTGAAGGATACGTGTAAGCTTCGAGTCTCGGTAGGGAATATGCTGTGTTTTGCTGTCGGTCAAACAGTTGATGACCATACCCAAGGCACTCAAACTCTTGTTGATCTTCTTTGCTTCCTCCAAGGTCTGCCCGCTCGCTCCGGTCTTGCCAACCTTCTCAGAACCAGCCAAATCAACCAAGAAGAGCTGCCCGCTCTTCAATGAGCCCGTCTCGACGTTCTTTTGGTTTACTGTTATGACAAAGATGGAATGCGATCGTGAGGATTCGGCGTTCATGTTGGTTGCTGAGACGGCTCGTGCCGACCCACCCCTTCTGAGAACCTCGTAGACTTCATCCTCGCTCGATACGTACACCTCCAAGAGGCCCTTGACGTAGACTCCTCTGTTCTTCTCTTCGTGCACGGGCAGGTTATCGTTTTGTGGGACCAAGAGATCTCGAATGCGCTCCATGTAGATCTCCATGTAGCTGACGCGAACGGTGTATTCGATGTTACTCGGTGAAGCCAAGATGCTTGCGAAGATCTGCTGGATGATACGTGGGATGACACCCTTTCCGACCTCGTCGTCCATGTCGCTACCCATCATTGTATACGACTTTCCCGCTCCAGTCTGGCCGTAAGCAAAGACTGTTCCATTGTATCCGTTCAGGATATCGTCGACGGTGGGGCGAATAGAGTAATCGAAGACGTCGGCCTGCTTGGAGTTCATGTCGAAGACGCGATCGAAAGTAAAGGCACCAGAGGCCTCTTTCGACTACACACATGGTGTCAGCGACTCTTGTTGGTTGGTTTGGACATGTGTTTATGGAGCTAGCATGCCGTACCTGGATCGTACATGTGTCATCGTTTTTGAATTCAACGATGGGCTCTCCGCCGCTGGCTATCTCGATCTTGTTCTGCGGACGGAACCGCGCCACCACTACATTGTCCTACCGTCAGTACTCGTCATTCCATGAAATGATACACCTGTCGTATGGGGCGCACCTTTGATTGTGTTCCTGTCGCCCATTTTGTTAGCCGTGTCTCTCACCCCTCTTCGCCGGTATCGCCAGAGCTACTCACGACATGATTGCTGGGGGTTCAGGCGTTGCGGCCCAGAGGCCTCGCTCTGTTTGCTGCTCTCGCGCTTTGGGTGCAGGTGTCGCTGCAGCCCCAACGGGAGGGTATGTTGTGGCACCGTCACGTCCCTGACTGTCTCGGCGCGTGGAGGTGGGTAATTACAGGCCCCGCTATGGTTAAGGGGAACTGATGAAACGGCCACGGAAACGGTCTCGGTGCACGCCGGGGATCCCAAGCTAAGCGCACCAGAAGAAACAAAGAGGGCAGCAGTACGAGGGCGCGCGGTGAGGGAGTCGATGTTGCGTTGAAGCCGGCCTATTGTAGAGATGCAGGCTTCGGCTTGTGTTGATACATCGGCCAGGGTCTGCATGCCCATAGCGCGCCTTCCTCCTCCCCGCAGCCAGCGCCTGTGACGCAACTTGACCTGGAGCATGCTTGAACATGCGAACCTCGCTTACTGCCAAATCCAAGTCTGGTCTGCTTGCATTTACTCAAGTCGTAGTATCAATCACGGAAGCATGCGGCTCTGCGCTGACTGCACCCAAGACAACCAATCCGGGAATCCCTGCATTAGTGGAGCAACAAAGACACTGGGCATCGGTGAGTGACTCCAACCAAAACAGACGTATATTAGCTACGTCGCTGAAAGATATAAACCATCGAGCCAAACGCCACGCTGGAAAAGCTCGAGATCAAAGCCACTGAGCTGCCAGTAACAGAAATGACATTGTCCCTGTCCCGTAATAACTCCATCCCATGCCGTCGTGTCGTGATATTCATATTCTAGCCGCACCCTCAATCCTCCCAGCTCTTCTCCACTGTCTCGCGCACACGCTTGGTGTATTCCTTGCGGTTCTCTTTGTACAGGTTCGACGCTTCGACGTTGGCGGGAGACGATGTGTTTGGGTCGTTCAGCAAACTGCGCTTGTCAGTACATGTCCCGCACCATGCTCACAGTCCAGTCGTCGCCCTCCTCTGACGTACCTCTGAATACTCGTCAAGATGGCCGCGACATCGTACGTGGGCGACCATCGGTTTTGGAGAATATCCAGACACAGCTCGCCCGTTCCGTATACGTTGGGGTGAAACATCTGGCTGATGAACTTGACACCCGGCGGCTTGTTGGGATACGCTTCTTCGAAATGCATGATAAGGCGGAAGGTTCCATCTTCGAACGGCGTGTCAGCGGGGCCGATGATGACTGCATTCCTGTGTATATGTCAGTTTTAAAGTTCAAAGTGCGTATGCATGCCGCTGCTATCTGTTCCAATCACGGAAGTGGCTTCATGTCCACCATACTCGAGGTCGCGTGCGGGGTGGATGCGGTGAAGCGTACCAAGTCATGACATTGTCTGCAACTGGAGAAGCAGAGACGCCAGCAGGCGGGTCGGTTTGCATGCGCTGTACTTGCTGTCAGTTGTGTGCTCTGCTGAACATATTTCGCAAGCATCCAGAGCTTGCTGTGCTTGCACTGTCGGCGTACCTTGAAGTCGCGCATCAAGCGGCGGCGGGCTGCAGTAGACATGATGGCGCGCGGGCGATGAACAAAGCTGCAGGTGGTTGATCAGAAGCAGACGTCTGAATCTGTGCAGAGATGGTCTATGTAGCTGTGACTGAGGTTGGTGTTGCACCGAGTTGGTTACAGGCGTCACTGACACCTTCCGCTGTCGGTCTCACTCGGCTTGTGGAGGCGAACGCCACCTCACGTGTAGGTGAAACCTAGCTTATCGCAACCTTCCAATCGTGCTCCTCGCGATTACCTCTCCCCTCTTTCAAATATCACAACACTTAATCCAGAACGCTCGATAGTAGCATATTCCTTTTTTTTTACATCATGATGAAGATAACTTATCAAGTTTTTATTATCATACTTGTTAGAGATAGCTAGGCTGATCATCGTCTGTGTCTCGCTCTGGGCCTCATGAATATCAGATAAATCGCCAAGACGACACGCCTTCAAATGCTCCCAAACACCATTAATGCGGCTCATTCTGATCACGCTGCATGCAGAGCGCTCGGTAGTACACATCCCGCGCCGTAAATTCATAACGCCATGAGTCGCTAGAAGACATAAGGAGAAGACGCTACAAAGTAGTGTTGAAATGTTGGAGACATCCAGCATCGGTAGCGACACAAATTGGTCGAAGAAGGAAATCGTCATGCGCGCTCAACACGGGAGCGTACTCTCACTGGCCCTTGGCCCCAGCAAGACCATGATGAGATGCTGAAGCTGACTTCTCGCGGCCCAGATAATCCACGATCGGGAAGCGGGCGCGACGTTCAAGCTCATCAAGAGGAATGTGGGAACGGATGAAGCGGTCTTTGTCATTGGCCGGCGGTTGGTAGTCCCAAGACTCCTTGCGGCCAATCTTCAACGCGCTGCAAGCAAGCTGGCGCATGCGCTGACTTCGCACAACGTCGTTGTGGATGGTCTTGAAGTCCCACTTCTCGCGCGCCTCGGCTTCAAACTTGGCTAGCATCTTCTGGTTTTGAGGCTCCGTCGAGGTAGCGAGGTCTTGCAGCTCTTGCGGGTCTTCCACAAGATTGTAGAGTTGTGGGCCGTCTACAAGAGAGTAGGTAAACTTCCACTGGTTGCGACGGATCATGTACGTGGGCGTGACGGTGCCTTCACCCATGTACTCACCAAATACCTCATCCTTGCCTGGTTTATCTGAAACAAGGTAGTCATGAAGACTAGAGCCGTCCAATGGAAGGCGCTCATCGACTTGTCCACCAGCTAGGTCGACAAAAGTTGGTAGAAGATCCATGGTTGATACCGACTCATTAACCTTCTTTGGCGCGATGTTGGGTCCGTTGATAATCATCGGTACTCGTGCACTGTTCTCGTACCAACTCATCTTGTACCACAAGCTCCTCTCGCCAAGCATGTCGCCATGGTCTCCGGAAAAGACAATGATGGTGTCCTTGTCTAGCTGGCAGTTCTTGAGGAGCCTGACAAGCTTGCCAACCTGGTCGTCGACAAAGCTGCACGCGGCGAAGTAGGCACGGCGAGCGCGGATTTTCGCCTCATCCGGGACAGGATTGTCCCACAGATCGATGGTCTGGAGCAGACGCTTGGAGTGAGAGTCCTGGTTCTCTTGTGCGATCTCAACCTTGGGCAAAGGGATATCGACGCCTTCATATCGATCCCAGTACTCCTGAATCATGGTATAAGGGTCGTGTGGGTGGGTCAGAGAGATGGTCAAAGCGAAAGGTCGCCGAGTCTCAGGGTCTGATCGAACGTAATCGTAAAGGTACTGTTGGGCCTGGAGGTATGTGTGAGCAAGATTTCGTCTACTTGAGTGCAAAGTTTCCTACCTTGTGCATGACATCCTCATCATAGTCGAGCTGGTTGGATCGCACACAAGGTCCGGCTTGCATGACCGAAGACATGTTGTGGTACCATTCCTGGCGCTCCTCTGGCTTGTCCCAGTTGACAGACCATCCGAGGTCACCGGGATAGATGTCGGAGGTGAGTCGGTGCTCAAATCCGTGGAGCTGATCAGGGCCAATAAAGTGCATCTTTCCTGCGAGCGCAGTCTCGTAGCCTTCTCGGCGGAGGTAGTGGGCGTAGGTAGGGATCTCTGGACTTAGGATGGAAGCGTTATCATAGCCGCCAATTTTGGACGGCAGCTGGCCACTGCACATGGTGAACCTAGACGGTGCGCACAAGGGTGAGTTGCAATAAGCGCTCGCAAAGTTGACGCCGGTCCTGGCAAGCTCATCAAGATGAGGTGTCTTGATAACTGACTCTGGGTCATTGAACTTTAGCATGGGTGCAGCCATCTGATCGGCCATAATGTACAAGATGTTGGGATGCTTTCCGTCCCCCATGGTGCGAGTCTGAGTTGCATAGCTTTCAGATTGCTGACGAAGAGTTTGTGCAGTAACGAAATCGCGTCCGTCTTGAAGAGCATCTGAGAAACCATTGCCAGATGAAAAGCCATTGTTGCTGTTGACACTGCCGTTACCATTACCGTTCATGGCTGTGGAAGAAAAAGAAAAGTCGTCGCCGACAGAAGCCTGGGCGTCCTTGAGCGAGATACTCCCGTCGTGGTGCAAGGGTTGCTTGACTGCGTGGACATGAGATGAGGGCGGCGACTCTGGGTCTAGCAAGAGACTTGGTGCCATATTGTGGTGGCAATGGATGGAATATGTAATATTGTATCTTGGACTGATTGCTTCGAGCAGTTACCTGGAGAATAGGTGAAGGTAGGAAGCTTTGTGGTGTGCAAACTCTTGTTGGAGTGAGGGCACGGATTCCTTTATAGATGAGGAAGGCGACGCCCCGGACGTCGTCTCGGCCGCACGGTGTATGTGGGGAAAGTGTAACCCTAGGTGACGCATTCTACAATAAGTTGGGTGGTGACTACCACGGGCAGCGGTCACGCAATCCACGCTCCAATCACGCCTAGTCTAGCGCACGTGCGATGGCGAAATCACACCTTCATCCATGAATAAGCTTGAACACACCACACCGCCCTGGCATCAGAAGGCCCGACCAACCGCAGCTCGATTTTCCCAAGATCAACAATTACGTCTTATCGAGCACGCGATCTGTTCTGCGTCGACATATTACTTGAGTACGTAGCCATGATTTAATAGCGCCTAGTAATCTTCCATCTCACCCGAGAGTTTACTACTCTGCTCTGCTTGTGTGAAATGTTGACAATCTCCTCGCATCCTACCGATTTCTTCGCACTTGCATGTGCAGAAGAGAGTACAGCATGTATGCCCGTCGCTAGCGTATGTATTGTCACTGTGAGTGGTCCGCTCCGGGGAGTCGCGACCATGGTCGAGATTGACAGAGACATAGGGCTTGTATGCAGCACAGTCGATCCAATCAATGCCAAGTAGGAGCCGGGCATACTAATGGTTTCGGACTGTGAGCGCGTGAGGAAGCTCGTGGAAGTTTGGGAAAGAACAGGCTTGGCAGACCATACCTTAGCGTAGGGGTCTAGTCGCTCGTCTTGCTCGACTCCTCCCGTCTCCGCGCACGCATCTCGACAATATTCAGCCATGATTTACAGTAGCCACTTGTCGAACTGCATGACACGTTATCAAGAATCACCGCCACCGTTATTGCAGCCGCCATCCCCTCGGTCAAGAGTTCGGAACATCGCTCATACATCCGTGGTTGTCTGGCATACGAACACTGAAGACCTCCAGGCTCCACCGGTGTACACTTTCGCGACCGGATCATACGGCGACCGAAGCGTTGCGGAGGATCCGCATGTTTTTGCAGATTCCACCGTCATTCGTCTCCTGCGTCGAGCTAGCCGGAACGAGAGATATCCTGTTGCGTTGGCGAATCAAGACTATTGCAGCCACAGTCTACTGATAGCGCGCTGCAGCTTCCAACGACACCTGCATACATGCGGCTCTCCGAGGATTTGCTAACACTAACTTTTTAACTTTTCCGTAGGATTCACAAGACACCACGTGAATACGAAAAGCTTCCTCGCCTCTTCTGTGGTCCAGCCGGCAAAACCCCTCTCAAGTTACTCAAGCAGCGATGAGCTGGCACTGACTGCCAAGGAATGCTTTACACGTCGTATCAGTCGCGGCCAAATTCGAAGATGTCTCGTGGTACATGCGATGCTCGGTAAGAGATGTGCAGGGGCAAGGGTAGCGTCGGAGCATATCCATCGTGTCCACACCCCAGATGCACCTACCTCCACGCGATGAGCTTGTCTATCGACTCAAGGGCTAGATCGCGCCGCCTTCCTGTATGATTACAACCTTAGGCGATAGTTTCTACTGCCAGAATACTGCCAAATGTTCATTTCGTATCAAATTCCTTTGTCTACCCACATTCCGTTGGCATGTTCACATTTGTAGTGGATTACTTCGTTCAAGGGTCCAAGGTCCCACAAATAATAGCTTACCACACACTACAACTCAATCGATATCAGTCTGTCCCTACCCTCCTACACAGCTGGACTTACACAACATGCAATCAATCTGTCAAATGGACGCCACCAAATCTCTCCTCTGGATCGTTTAGCCATGACCGGGCATAAAGTCCATATGATCTCGATAACAATCTTCCCCACTTGCGCAACGACCAGCCCTTCGTGCTCAACTGGTATGATTGATAAAACATTCTTGCAGCGCTGCGTCAGCTTCATCTCCACATACGCTAGCCAGCTCGTCGACGCACGACTTCGCCTCCTGGCGGTCCTTCCAGTTTGTCAATGCAATGTCAAGACATCGTCACGAGGCCTCCAACAAGCAGATCATGAGCCAATCGCTATCCGCCCCGAAGATAATCAGCCTGCGTGTGATCCGAGTGTCAGGCTCTTGGCAATGGCCCTTTCCCGACCTCACGAATGATTCCTGATAACCTATCCGGCGGTTCGTCGCCCGAAGAGCGACGGCCCGGTTGGTGATGACGCGACGACCCGTTACCAATTCCACGGGCGACGGACTCTCATCTCGCAGTGCGTCGAGGCGCCACTCGTTTCGCTCCACATGCGCTACCCGAAGAACTTCATGATTTTTTCTGATATGCACGTCATGTCCGATTGGTGAGTGTGGCTTCCAGCGCATACGTTGCGACTTACCCCGACTCGTAATGGACTTGCATCTTTATCACATGGCAAATCTCTCCGATATGGCTGATAAGTACAGCCAGACAGCGCTCTTTCGAAAGGGGAAGCCTGATACGCTTTGTTGTATGAATGTCATTATCTATGGCCACGTCTGGATGTGCGCTTCTCGATAACAGATCTTCTAGAAATTGAGGAGATCGTGCTTCTCCTCATCATGACTTGATATGATTACATCCTATTTAGACATTCGTAGCTTGTTCTTGGACCATCTAACGAACCTGGTCATGATCTCTCTTCTCCCCTTCCAGGCCGCCATCATGCTCACTGAATTGACACAGGGATGCAACAAACCTCCGCAATACCTTGTCTCACCTCATCATTAGTTCGACGCGCATGCCAGCACCATGGACTATCAGTAACTAGTCATTTAGTTGCATAGCAGCTATAAGAGGACCGATTGTGACACTGGTTCTCCTCTGGCGAGGACGCGGAAGGAAATGAGGATGCAAATCATACAATCTATTACACACGAATGCCGAAACCGACTGCAGTAGTGTCTCATCAACGGGCCGAAGCTCCACGAGGCAGACGTCCATATCGTTTCGTCTCTGGAAGCATACTGACACCGAAGGCAATGAACGTGAATGATGAAGTAATCGTACAAATTGTGTCCTACTGCATGACGTGCAGGATATGAGTTTCCGACAACAGATCAAATGTTTGCTTGAAAAGCGACTAGTCAGGAGTGAGATACTGATACGCTCTACGATACGGATTGATAACAACTACAACAACAACATCGTGATGCACTCGTAGCAGCCCAAAGCTCGGCCCTACAGACAAACAACATATCTCACCACGATGACTTCGCTCTGTCAGAATGTTGTTCGAAGGTCGACAACTACTCCTTTCCCCTCCCTGATGGATCTAGAACAGCACTTTCGGCCTCTCCTGCCAGCGTATCATCATCCTTCCTAGATGGATGTCTCAGAGATGCATCGACGTTCCGCACATCCTGGGTTTTGTCTCCTTCTGTCTCTCGTCGCATATCGCGAACGGATTGGAACAAGGAAGTAGTCGTACGACTTGTAAGCCATTAACACGATCGATACGAAAATGAAACGATGATGCATATCGCACGGTCCGGATTCCACGCGGCAACCATCATCTACAACATCGGCTTGCAAGATTAGGAAAGGATAGGAGCTTTTTGTCGCGATGGCTCGAGTATGTTAAAATGTGATTCGACATTTGTAATCCGTACTCTGCTCCTTTGGTGAACACAATCATCGTGTTCGTTTCCCGTAAAAGAATGATGCGATTGCATAAGCCCCCAACTTACAAACACAAGACGTCTTCCCGACGTCCATCACAAACAGGCGTCGTCCACGGGCATGGCTTTGCCTCCACTGCTCAGAGCATACACGGCTCATGACTCTGATGAACCAGCACAGTCAACGCATTTTTAGCTACCGAGCACGCGTATCAAAGGACCTCAGATCAAAATTTATGTCGCAACAAATCTCCATAAAAAACACCATGTAAATGCTATAGTACAGACACAAGCTCTCTTGGAGATTTCATCTAACCGAGAGCCCACCCGCTCATTACCAATGGCACAGCTCATCCCGCTAAATCTCATTTTAATACATCTCGTTTCCTTCGAAAGAATACCGTAAGCATAAAAACAGAAAACAAATGAAAAGCATACTGTATCCCCGCATCATTTTTTCTTTTACTCAGCAGCACCCTGCTGCTGCTGTCCGGCACCACCGCCGCCAGCACCACCACGTCCACCTCGTGCCCTCTTCCCACCTCTCGTCGCACCTTCACCAATATCATCTTCCGCGCCACGCTTCTGTCCGCGTCCAGCCTGTCCCTGACCGCCTTGGCTTTGACCAGGCTGGAAGCCCTGCGCACCAGGATTCAAGCCACCTCTTGCCGGTGATCCTTGATTCTGATTTGATTGACCACGGCCACGACCCGCACCTCGGCCGTTGCCACGACCAATTTGCGAAGCACCGGCTCCAGCTCCGGCATTGGGACCTTGATTCTGTTGCTGATTATTCTGGGTTTGGGTTTGAGGTTGTTGCTGGTTTTGGCCTCGTCCCCTACCACCAGGCATAGGGATGCCGCTTCCAGCACCACCGCGGGGGATGTTTGATGCAAGAGCTCCCCTAATGGCAGCAGGGCCCGTTCCTACACCGTCGCCGCGGCCGCGTCCCGGCTGCTGCTGCTGCTGTGCTTGACCTTGGACTGTGAAACCTGGCTGTGGGAGTCCGCGACCCATCTGGCTTTGGCTACGTGGGAATGGGTCTGCGTTGGTGCCGTGGCCAGCAGGGGCAGCTTGAGCGAAGGGATTGGGCTGGGGGTTGGATTGTTGGAAAGGTGCGGGTTGGGACGCTTGAGCCGGAGGCGCGTTATTGGCGCCGTTTGCCTGGGGTGTGTTGGTTGTGGAGGGTGCTGCTGGCTGTTGCTGCGGTGTCGATGTCGGTGCTTGACCTTGTGTGGCAGCAGGTTTGGCGGGTGTAGCAGGTTGTACAGGCTTAGCAGCTTCCACTGGCTTCTGCTGTAGCGCAATCGCGTATACCTTTGCAACTTCCTCTGTAGGCGTTTCCTTTGCGGCCTTCTCGACGTAGCCGAATCTCGTCCTAACGAGCTTCAGCTGCGAATCCTTCAGTTTTG